CCCCAAAACCCCAAAACCCCAAAACCCCAAAACCCCAAAACCCCAAAACCCCTTTCAAGGTCAACTAAAATGAATAAATCTAGTGTATAATTTAAATATTATTTAGAAATGGAGACTTTGAAGCTAAAGGAGTATGATGATCCCTCAATCTCTGCTTTATACCTAATTATTCTCTTTAATATATTACAGCTTATCTCATTATATATTTCAAGTTCACTAACATTTTAAAGATATGGCTATTGACTTGTATAGAAAGGGAAAAGAGAAAACAACTGATATATTTATGTTGGATGGGCAAACAGGCAGCAAAAATAAAGTCTCGGAGATGAACATGATGGAGGGAATAAGTGAGGTTAATCTCTTAAGAAATAACTCCCATGATTCCTTTGATTCGATATTCAACAAAGAACTAGACCTTGACATAGGTAGTTTCTACATTTCAATTCTAATTTTTTAGAGGAAGTTCCAATGGTTTTGTATGAACTCCATGAAAACGCAATCTATTATATTGAAAGAGAAGAATGGGAGAAAGCGCTTGTCTTATTACAGAAAGCGCAGATTATTATTGAGGTAATAGGAATGCTTTCATTGTATAGCAAGCAAATGTAGAGAGATTCAAAAAGGATAGACTTGTTATTATAATCATCTTCCATAATACTGCATTGTGATATCAGATGCTTGGGTCTTTAGAAGACGCCTCGTTATTTTTAGAGACTTGAATTCTCAATCTAGAAATTCTATCGATGATGCCTTGTTTTCAGAAAACGGAGGTTAAATCGAATATTCTATCCCTTGAATGAATTCTGAGAATGCAATTATGAGCTCTTTTGTCTCAGCTGCATAGACACCAGGAAGCCCTTTATCATTGCCAGATAGCTGTGAGGATAGGCCATTTTATATTTAAAGACTTGAAGAGATATTGTGAATCCCTTGTATACAGAGAAAGCTACGCTAATATTGATAAATAAACAGGATGAGTAAGTGTGAAATTTCATAAAATTTAGAGAGACTGATTCCAAGCATCAAAATTCTCCAAAAGCAAATTCTAAGCTTCCCACGACTAGAATAGAGGTAAAAACTGATAGGTCAATGGATATGAATAAGCTAAGATCAAGTGCAAGAAAAGGAAATATGGAACTGAAAAAGAAAGATACTAGCCGCAAAGGATCTGTACTCCTTTTAATAATTTTATAGATAAATTCAGCATCTACAGATGATTCTGACGGAGAGCCAATGTCAATTTTTCATAAAGGTTACAAGAAGATTTACCCTATACTTAAAGAATTTGAGAAATATTTAGTAAAAGAGGATAATTTACAAAGCAAGTTAAATAACTTCTCTACTGATCAAAAAGATACCCTAAAGAATAAAGAAAGATTTCAATATAAAGTCTCAGAGCAAGAGAAGTTGATCAAGAGCAGAATTGAGGAAATCACAAAGAATGAGGAGGTTAATCTGGAAAATATGCTAGGGTTTATTAACCAAAAGAAGCTGAATTCTTACCTCAATATTTCTAATATTATGAGGCTCAATAAATTGGATTTCAATGATCTTTATTACACCAGAGATCTAGATATGACGCTTACAAGGAAACCTATTTTAGAAAAGGTACTCTTTCAGGTTTATGGTATAGATCATGCTGATTATAACTTCCTATTTTTGAATGGGAACTGAATTGAGATTTCTAAAGCAGCTACAAGTGGATGGCTTCAAAGATTCAGTGGAAGCCCAATTTTGGCATGGAAATGCACTTGAAATGGCATTTGTTTTTCTTCCAAGTGAGTCTCCATACGTGAAGCATTTGGTTCATTCATATACAAAGCACCATTCTCCATCTTCTCAGTCAATTCCTGAGGGTTATGAGATGGCTCCAAATGTTAAAATTCTGAGAGCACTTCGAGGAGTGCATAACAGTAAATCAAACCCTATTATTCAAGACTGCGATTACATTTATAACTCGAAATCTGATCTAGACATTGAAAGTAAAGTCTCAAAAGAATTTTCTCAAAATATGATTAAGCATATAAAGAATGCAATGGTAAAGATATCCCCACTTGATATGCCTAATAATGATTATTTTAAGTATATTGATGATAAAATGATTGAACTAGGAGTAAAAAATCAAAGCAGAACCAATGAGAATAAGCAAAGGAAAAGTATAGCATCTGAAAGAGAATCATGAATAATGCTTAATAAAGTCCAAACTAGAGATCAAGAAGTTCAAGTTGCTCCTGATTTCAAACCTACTAAGGTTTATATTGATAGAGCCTTAAGTGCAAAATGATTGACGACTAAAGTTTTCAAGCCAAAGTTAAAACAGACAACTGATGCTGCAGTTAACACAAAAGAAAGATTTATTCTAACTCAGAAAAATGATAGCCGATATTCATCTGGGAATAGCAGCTTAAATACTCCATCAAGCGGAGCGTTATTTGCTAATCGTATAACTAAATAACTCTCAAAGTAGGCACTCTAATGAGCTAGAACGGCAGTATATGTTAAAGAAGAAATATAATGAAAAATTACAAAATTATCCTCACACAAGGTTGACTCCAGGATCTTATGATTCTCAAGACAGGCCGAACTCAATAGCTGGTTCAATTAAATTAAGGAAAAGCCATGATTCTAGTCAATCTTCCCTTAAAAGTAACAAACTGGAGATGTATGATAATAAGAAATACAATTCTAGTAAAAATCATTTCAGAAAATCTGAGAATAATCAGGTACTCTCACAGAATAATAACAAGAGGAGAACGAGTAGTTCAAAAAGAAGATATCACCAAAACTCGAATAAAATCTTTGTAAATAAACATTTAACAAGCCTTGATCATGGAGCAGCTGAAAGAGGGCAAGGATTACTTCCTCAAGGAAATACCGCTGGTTCTAATATGTCTTTTGATGAAGAAGTGAATAATATCAGCAAAGGACATAGATCTAATCATAGTCTGAGTTCAATTGACCATCCACGACAAAATAGATACTCAAAAATCTCTATGGCAAATCCTAGCATCTCTAAGCCAAAAATGAATCCTATCCGTATCAGCAATAAAGGTTTTAATAATAGAAGTAACAGTAGTTCTACGATAAAATAAGAAGAAGAGCAAATCTTCTAATTTATCAGTTTCCCGAATAGACCAGTCATTTCCTCGCGATGATAATAACTATCTAAAGGACTCAGGGAGCACTAAGGTCAGAAAAGGAACGATAGAGATGAAGATTAAGTCGACTCTGAATGATCAAATGAGTACTTTACAACATCAGATAAACATAATGAGTTTTGGTCAGAACCTAAAGACCCCTCAATTCAAGATTCCTAGCAATCAATTCCAGATAAAGAAGCAGTATTTTACCAAAGGTTTCTCAGAGAGTAACTCGAACAGAAGAAGGAAGAAGAGTCAAGAGCAAAAAGAGAAGATCAATCATTCCATGATCTATGACCAAGTTAGTAGACTAAATCGTTAATTTCAAGAGTTAATTTACTGAAGGGGTTTTGGGGTTTTGGGGTTTTGGGGTTTTGGGG